CCCCTCTGCTCGCCTCCAATGTGGGACGCCCTCTCCACGCAGACCTGCTGCTGAGTCCCATGCGCGGTGAGCCACAGCGCGGGGACATCCTAAGGCCTTCCTTTGCATTTAAACATGGGAGACCCCGAGGCCAGTGGCTGAGACTTGGGTCCAAGGCCCGCTCCCTCCTAGCCGGGTAACCCTGGCAGCTGCCTCCTCTGTAACGGATGCCTATTGCTGATTTCATCGTTATTCTGAAGACCAGGTTAAACACGCTCACGGATGAGCAGTGTTTAGCACAGTGTTTGGCACACAATCGATGGGAGTACCATTAAATGGTCAGAAATATGAGGCTGTTAATTAAAAATCCTATCTCAGCCAAGGCCTCCTTAACAAAAATTTCACTAGAAATGTGGCGATTTCAGACCACTATTTAATTTTATTTTCGTTAGCACATGCTACTCTTTTTTTGTTAGAACACCAGCTTCCTCACCACCCCCCATCAGTAAAGGGGGCGTCGTACATGGGGTGGCTCTGAGGGCGCCATGAGGTCACCCTCACAGGGCTTGCCTGGGGCCTGGAGTGCTGAAGGCATTCAACAAATGCTGGCTGTTAGCTGAGGGACATTGCAGGTTTTGAGAAGAAATGAGATAGTCAATCTAATATTCTTGAGATTAGGGGCTCTCGGAGGCTTGTGGGAGTTGAGTTGGGGGCACCCAGGAGGGTCCCTCTGGGGCAGGTATTCTGAGAGCGTGCCCTACGGAGGGTCCCTTCTGTGTCAACTGGGTCTGAAGGGAAGAGCTGGCCTGGAGCTGCAGGAATGAGGTGAGAAGCCTCTGCCAGGTGGGGTGATGCTAGTGAGCAGAGGCGCCAATAGTCTTTGAAAGTCTCTGTTGCATTTAAGTCATTTCACCATCTTCAGTTCTCTAGTAGCCTGGCTGAGATTTTATGGACTAGTCTGTGGAGATTAGAAGTGAGAGTCCAAAGGCATCAAAGCCCGGCTCCTGCGCACATCCAAACCCCAAACGCAGCTGAACTTCCCGGCAGGTCTGCCCGGTCAGACCGTGGGGACACGAGGTCAGTTAAGCTCACAGAGTCACGTGGTGTCTCCAGCCCCCCAGTAGCAGCAGCGTTAGGGTTACTAATCTACTTCTCTGAAAAGATGAGTACAGCTTTGAAATCAATGTAACAAAAGAAAGTCAGGATACAGAGGAAAGAGAAAGACAAATGGAATTGCATCACGAACGATGTCATTATTGCCCCGAGAGGAAAGACAGGAATGCCATCATGCTGTCCGTGTTCGGAGGTGTCTCCGAGAAGGGTTCTTTGGCTAAAGAAAGGAACAGTGACACCTTCCTTTCCAATTTGGTAAGGACAGCTCTGGCCTGCTTCCTTCTGAGGGTTCCCCATGAAGTCTGCAAGACACACCAGAAAGAAAAGACCGACCGGGTGGACGAGAAGCACGCCAAGTCCCCTGGGCGGGAATGCTTTGTGGCAAAGCTCTTATGCTGGCGCTGTGAGGGCCCGGCAAGGCCGCGGAAGGAGACCTCGCCTCTCTGTTGAATTTTCCCTGCTACCTGGTTTTTTCTCCCGTTTTCTGTCCCAGAGCCTCACATCCTGCCCTGCCCCCAGCACCAGACAGAGTCCGGATGAAAGCTGGGTCAGCCCGCGGACACGGCGTTTCACCCCTACAGCCCATCAGTAATAGCTCCTCAAACCTCCTCATCTCCTTCCTCCCAGTTTCCAAGAAAGTGCCACTCACTCACTCACTCACTCACTCTCACACCCCAATCCTCCACCACAAGCTTGTTCAAAACCGAGTGTCTGCAATTCTACAGGTCTGGTCGAGGGAAAGCAGCCGTTAGCAGCTGCACTGACCCCGCCTTCCCTCCGCACACCCAGCAGCCTGGTGTCTGGGCGGGTTGTCTCCCGGGGTGAAGGGGACTGCCAGCTGGCTCCCGCGGCCTGCAAGCCACTCAGCGCCAGTAAGGCCTGGATGCAAATCCGGTCCGGGAGACAACCGCCGGCTGGCCTCCACCCTCCTTGTCCCTCTGAATCGATCAACCCCATGCTCTTTCACAAAAGTAATTGGCATCAAGCCTCAGACTCTCCCACCCATCGGCCTGCTCACCCCTTCCCTTGGAAACAGCCCAATCGTCACGAAAGAGGCCCTAAGCGCAGAGACACGGGTGCAAACATCCCGGAGGGCCGGCGAGGCCCAGCGCAGGAGCATGTGGACCTGCGGCTCCCTGGCTCCCACGGCAGTCTCCCTTGCCTGTCTTTTTGCATTTCCCCTCTCACTCTTACGTTTCCTCAGCAAAGAAGGATGAAGCCAATTATTGAACAGATGATGCTCTAGGTTATGGTACTTGAGGTCTAAATAGGACTAGGTTGACACCCCTCTACTTGAGAGCTTGGTCCTAGGGATGGGCAGCCTTTTGCTCATCCCATTTGCTAGGGCGCCTCAGTTGGAGGACGGGATGGGAGATGCGGGCAAGTGCCAAGGAGCACGGGCAGAGGTTGGCGCCTCCCACTAGAGGTTTCTGATCCCACAGCTGTGCTGGGGACTGAAGGAGGAAGGCAGGCCGGGACTAGGGGAGCGTGCTAACATTTGCTGAGTGTCTGCGGGACTGGGTCCTGCCCATCTCCCAGCTGCACCCCCGCCCTTTCAGGGAAGCTGGCATTTCAACCCTTTCTTCATCCGGGGCTGAAGTTTCTGGGTTTGTGGGCAGTGTGTGTCCACCTTGCTGATGGAAAAATCAGGGCACTGTGGGCCGATGACCTCACCCTGGCTGCAGTGTGAGCAGCTGCTGGGCGTGTCAGTGTCCTCGGGCCTCCTAGCATCCCTCCCCCTTTTTGGCTCACTAGTTTGTCCTTAGGATTGCAAGCTGAGATGTCCTGGGGGCAGGGCCAGACTGAGGAAGTGGGCAGCGTGGGGGGAGGGGGGAGGGGGAGGCGGCAGTTTCCAGGGGACGTCTCTGAGCCACCCTCCTGGTGCACCGACGGGAAAGGGGGCGCCTGGGAGGGGCTGCATCAGCTCCGGCAGGGGGCTCTTTTGGCGGGACAGGTACATGGCGGGTGTGAGCAGGCCAGGATCTGGGCAGCCGGGTTCAGAAGCACAGGGCCTGGCGGAGGCCCATGCTCAGGGCTCAGCACGCGTGGCCTGTGTGGTCAGCGCCCAGGCTGCGCAGAGGAAAGGCCTGATTCTTCACTCTTGTTCTGCGGGGCATCTTTCCTGGACAGCTCTCAGTGGAAGAGATGACAAACAGTTCACCTAATTCCTTTGTCTGACAAAACTGGACATCTGTATGTCCTTCCTGTCTACTCAGATACTCACAGATATAATCAAATAAGTTTAAATATTAAAGAGAAAACACAAAGATACATGGAATAAGTGTGCATTTCAAACCCCAACTAAAATATCCACACGATGATAATGACAATAATTACACTGATAATAATCAAAATAATTAGTACAATAATATTATCTTTATGAGCAGCATGGACCTTTCATTCCTGGTCTGGAAGAAAAGGAAAGAAGTGTCAGGTGAAAGTCGACGTGGTAGACAGAGTCATCTGCTTCAAACGGAAGGCTGGTTGTCTTTTCTGGAAAGGTCAGAGGGCGCGAGGGCTGGGCGCGGCCCAGGATGCTACAGTACGGCCAGCGAGGCTCACGTGCAGCCCAGACAGGTAACTGGGCTCAATACCTGGTGGGGCGCCGCTGCCATCCGTGCCGGAGTCGGGCCTTCCAGGCTGGTGTGGCCTCCAACTTCACCCCCTCCCCCGCGCCCCCCACTACTCCCACCGACTGGCCGTCTCCTGTCGTCTCAGAAGGACGCACTGCCCACATCAGACAGACTATGGATCCTGCTGGGCCCTGGGGCTGTCCGCCCTCCGAGACTCATGCGTCCTTCCTTCCGTCCGGCCTGAGGCCTGGATAAATGGGATCTCTGTAAGGTAAGTAGGACTTGTGGTCGGTCGGGAGGGGAAATTTCCAGAGTTAGTTCACATTTCACAGCTAAGAGCTAAGGTGAAGGTTTGGCTTCCTCACTGAATTAGGTCGGATGTCACTATAAAAACACCTTTCACAGCAGATCGTTAAGGGAGACCGTGGAGGGAGGGAGGGTGGGAGGGAGGGGGACGGAACGGGGACAGAGCGGCCTCTCTGCACCTTGGGAACGCGGCGTTGGGCTCAGTTAAAGACTCAGCGTGGAGAGCCGACGTTTAGGGCCTCCCTTTAAAGCCTCACTATGACCACACAGTCATGAGTGTGAGTTGCTGTGAGCAGAGACCCCACCTGCCTCCAGCAGTTCAAGCCTGAGAAACGTCCAGAATGTATCAAAGGTGCAAAGAGGGCAAAGGGCAATTTCTTTGGAAACCTAACTGGCGGCGGGAGGGGTCTCCAAGGGGTGGCCAAAGGCCTCCTGGTCACCCCCATAAATGTCCCCCTGCCTTCTGCCCACCAGACCCTCAAAAACCAAAACCAAGTGGTGCCGTGGGCAGGCCCAGGTAATGAGGGAGAGACTGCAGTGAGCACAGGCTGGTGGCTGTCTGCAGAGGGAAGGGTCCAGAGGGGAGGGGCGGTGCGACAGTGAGGCCTGGGGGGAGGCGAGAGCACCAGCTGGGGACCAGGCCTGCGCTCCAGCCCGCAGAGGCGGCAGGAAGTGTGCTGGCCTGGAGGTGGCAGGCGGCTGGCGGCCTCCTCTCCTCTGTCCTTTCCACACCAGGAAGGAGTCAGCCACTAGCAAGGCCAGCGTTTCTGCAACACAGAGGGACCTCTGGCCCCACAAATGGCAGAGCAGCCATACAGGTAGAACAGGGGGT